AAAAAAAAAAAAACTTATAAAAAGAAAAAAAAATTAAAAGGTGTGTGATCTCTTTTTAAAAAAAATAATGGCTTAACACTCCAGCAATTTATTCTTTCCAGCAATTCCATGGGTCAGCCGAGTGGTGTTTTGCTCATATGATGTTGGCTGAGGCCGCTTACGTAGCTGCATTTATGTGGAGTTCGCTTGGCGCATCAAGGATCTCCTTTGTGTTGGCTGTCTGGCAGGATAACCTGAACTTCTGCATAGCATTGCTTTCAACTTTTTGAAAAGTTGACCTGTTTTTGGAAAGTCAAAAGTTTTGAATGTTTGCTGAAACATTCACTCTTGGAATCTTTAGTTACCATGTAATGCGTCCAACTACCTGAAGCTGCCATGTTGTGAGGAAGCACAAGCTCCACTGAGAGGCCCCGTGCAGATGCTCTTGGCTTTGCTGAGGCCACTTCCAGTCATGCCAGCCCAGGCATCAGAAGCCTCCAGATGATTCCACTGTTGTTCAAGTCAATCTAACCTTTAGAGTCATCCAGCTGAGGCTTCCGACAATACGTAGCTGAGATAAGCCACATCTGAATTCATAACTCACAGATTATGTGAGCATAATAACATGATTGTTTTATGCCGCTAAGTTTTGGGATAGTCTGTTTTGCAGCCACAGATAACTGGAACAAACTAAATAAGTTATTCTCTCTGTAGCTGCAGATGCTTTTGTGGCTTTGGCATGGACGAGGCCAGCAGGAACTTCCCTGCCTGACTTAAGACCCCTTCATATGCAAAGGCTCTGTGGCAGGTGGGGAATCGAGTCATACAAAAGAATGAACTAGAGCCTGTGTGGCTGGAGCACACGGAGCCAGATGTGGGTGGAGAAGTCAGCAGGGTCAGACTGTGACAGTCCTTGGGACCCATAACAAGGACTTTAGGTTTTGTTCTAAGACCCATGAGAAGCCACTGAAAGGTTTTAAGCAGGAAAATGGCATGCTCTGATGTCCTGCGTGGATATATCTGACTGCTGTGTGGAGAGAGGAATGTAGGCACGAGGGCGGAAGCAAAGAAACCAGTGGAGAGTGTGGTCACGGTGCAGACGCAGAGAAATCTTATTTCAAGGGTCCAACAGAGAGTCCTAAGTGTCTCCCTGCCACCACTTCACATTCCCGGAAGAGAAATTCCGATGATCTCAGTTTGAGTCTTGTATCCACCATTGGCCAATTCCCTAAGGCCACGGGGACGGTCACCAAAGGCAGATGTGGCGTCACATGTGGGTGAAGGAGCTCTTTCCAAGAGGAGGTAATGGCGTAATATAAGGATTCGGAAGATTCTCCAAAAATGGGTACATAAGAAAAAAAATTTTCCACTCACAATTCAGCGGCTGAAGCAAGTGGTGTGATCGATCACGCCCAACTTCAAACAGGGTAAGCAGAAGCACACCCACCATAGGGCCAGAATGTTGTCTCTAATGACTAGCTCACACCTCATTGCGGCTTCTCTAGTCTGTCTCGGTGGTTCTCTTGGGGCCCCAGTATTTTGGCTTGGTATCCACGGAATGTGGTGCCACCGTACTTCCTAGACTAACAGGTCTCTGCCTACATAACCGAATGCAAGGCATCCTCTTTCAAATTTCCAGTCTTGTTTTACACAGCTTGAATTGGTAGTGGTTGATGAACCAGGTTTGGCTATTAAAA